TTATAGTATTGAATTTTACATGATCTAGCATGTTTTGCAACTTGATTTCTTCAACAATTTAAATGAAATGCATTGATTAGGCTACACGAGGTGTGTTGTGAAGAGCATATACTGCTGAGAACTTCTGAACCTGCCCTTGAAGCTGGCTCTAGGCCGTGTGCCATTTTGAATGAAAACCCTTCAAGCATCGTTTGTAGCGTGAAGGCATTGGCCTAGGTCTTCAAGTATCCATTTGGCTTCACCAGTCCCTGAGTCCACGATTCCACAACTGACTATATATTTTGGAAAGATTTCCAGGTAGAAAAATATGACTAAAGAAAAAGGTGAGTAAAAACAGCAAATTGTCTCGCTAGTGGGCGTCTCCAACAAGCTCCTCTGTGCTCCGTCTCCTCAAGTCGGCGTGATGCTGTGAGAAGACCTGGGCAGCGCCTGCCTGTTAATCACAGTGCAGCCAGGGCCTGGTCCGGTCAAGGCCCCTGGTAGTGGTCGGTGCTGTCTACCAGCTTCGCCTCAGGGGACCCTTGACAGCCATATTCCGTTCTGAAGCACAGGGCTTTCACTGGCTACGTTTTCAGACGTACTTTGCTCGGTCTTTCTTCAGAGTCTGTCTTAGTCTGGAAGCTCCGCTGAAACCTGTCCACCTTGGACGACCCTGCTGGTGTCTGAAATTAATACCAGTGGCATAGCTCCCAACAGCACGGTAACACGCAAGCCACCACGGTGCCGCAGACAGGTGGGTGGTGGAAGATGCGTGGTAGGCACCCAGTGGTAGGTGTGGTCGGTCAAGGGCTTCAGTGCTTGCTACTCAAAGTGTGTTTGGAGACCTGCAGCCGGTGCTGCACCCAAGACCTGCAAAACGGCGTCGGCACGCTCAGGGAAACGCCAGGGAAGGGCTGGAACCCCTCCAGCCCCCTTTTTTCTCCCTGTCCTGAAGAGACAGCCTTTCACTCTCTGCTGAGCCAACTCTTTAGAGCTTGGAAATTTGATCTCCAGGGCTTGAAACTAGAGTCCCTGGCGCTTTTATGCTCAGAGAGAGGCTCACCCGGGTTTCCCAGCCTCTTCCTGAATTACAGGTAGAAATAATTCCCTGTGGCATTTAAGCCGCTGTCTTCCGAGTGCTTCTCTCTCCTGGGGGCTCGGCCAAAGGGAAAAAAAGGCAAATCTGCCTCGTACCCTTCCCATGTCTTAAGAGGAAGTTCTTGTTCCTGGACTTTTCCACTCAGGAACTGTCCTCCCTTGACCACCTCGCCTCCCCTTTTCCTGTGGTCTGAAGGGCGAGTGCATTTCATTCTAATTTGCATCATCAGATACTCGGGTCATAAATTAGTCACTCGGTGAGGCCTGGCTTTTCTGTTTTATCTCCAGTCTCCGGTTCACTTACAAATTGTTTCTGATTCATTTAGAAAGAGGCCTGGCCCGTTTCTCAGAGCTTGTATTTCAAAACAGATTCTCTCAAAGCAGAGTTTTCAAACAGACGCTTAAAATGGCTTGTCCTTGGGAGAACTGTTGGCTCCCTGTGCTGTGCAGTGTGACGGAACGGTGCTTTCATCGCTTCTTAAATTTGCAGCATTGTAACCTGGGCTGTAAAGAGCCCAGTGGTGCAGTGGTTAGCACTTGGGTGCTAACCAAAAGGTTGGTGGTTAGAACCGCCCAGCGGTGCTGTGGAAGGAAGCCCTGGCGACCTGCTCCCGTGCAGATGACAGTGGAGCAAACCCTCGGGGCAGTGCTGGTCTGTCATACGGGGACGCCGTGGCTTGACCAACTGGCTGGCACCTGACACCAACGGCCTTTAGTGACGAAAAGAATAGGAGCATTTTACTGCCGTTGTAATAAATACCACGTGACTTTTGTGGGCGCTGGGAATGTGACAAACAAAATACTAGAAGCACTTAGACGCAGGTGGCTTGTTTGCCAGCAGTAGTCGAAGAGGCTAGAGAGCGGGCCTGGGGGAGGTGAAGCAGGTGACGAGCTAGTGTGGGGCTCAGTGGGTGGACGGCCCCACACTGGGTCTGGGAGAGCCCTGGGGAAATGGGGGACTTGTCGCGGGCAGTGTGTGATGCCGGCAGGTGTGTGTGCTTCTCTCGCGAGCAGCCTTCTAATCACAGCGAGGAAGAGCAGGGGTTGCTTCAGCGTCGAGGCCGGCCCACTCACAGCGGTGGTCTTGTCATTCACGTGTGTCCTCCTCAGGGCCTCCTTCCTCCCGTGGTAAGGCCTCTGCCCGTCCAGTGTTGCCTGGTTCTGTGGGCATGAGCGTAAGCTGTTGGAAAGTAAGAGATGTGTACACACATGTCAGTATGTGTACACACACGTATGTACATCACATACCACACACACACCTCACACAGTCACACATCACACACACTACATGTACACACATACCACATACCCACACCACACCACACACATGTCACAAACATAGACTACATGCACACCACATGTACATACTGCACATGCCCCACACACTTAAAATCGTAAGTAAAGGTGGGGCCCAAGTTTATGCATGTCTGCACATGCTGTCCAGGGGTACTTCTGGCCATTTCTGGTTCGCACCTAACTTCGTACTAACGTCTAACTATGATTCGTGGCTGTTGATCCCGAGTGGCTGTCTGGGGAATGAGCAGCTGTTATTTCTTCAGTGGGGTGTTACAGGGGGACTGGGCTGCCTTGTGACTAACCACCTCTGTCTCCTCAGCAGACGAGCCCTCCTGGGAGCTGCATGGTCTCTGGTCACAGTCCACGGAGCCCACGCTGGGGAGAAGCACCGTGCACAGAACTCATGTGGCCTTAACAGAACCCGTCCCAGAGCCCCCGGGAAGCAGCTCTCCCCATGCCACGTCACCTCCACCTGCCACCTCTTCCTACCCAGGAGAAATGGCCCAGAGCTCAGCAGATGCCAGTGTCTTCGTGGCAAATTATGTGTCTGTGCAGAGCAACGAGGTGGTTCCAGATGATGACGAGATGGATAACTTTTTGCCAGACGCCCACTGGACCGCTTCGCGGGAACTGTCTCCAGCACAGGACGTCACAGCCAGCCTCCTGGGGGGGCTGCCCACTCACTCCCCAGGGGCTGTGCTGACGCCATCCTTACCTGTTATTGCTTCACACAACCAAGCGGTGGCCTCCACCTGGCACCGCGCCATACAGCCACCCCCAACGGAAGCTGAATCCCCCAGTCCTTCTAGCCCGTCTCCGTCAGTGTTTTCCAGTTCCGAGGGCTTGGTTCCAACTCCCAGCAGGAATTTGGTGCTCTATCCCACCGACACGTTTGGACACTGGTCAAGCAGGCCTTTGACTGAGGTTGTGGCTTCAGTCACGCTGGGTGCAGGAGCCCTCCCCTTGAGTTCTCCGTCTCCAGTGACCGAGACGGCAGGCCAGGGCCTCACTCAACAACCATTTTTCTCCTTAGGGGAGGCCACGCAGCTCCCCGAGCAGGTTCTGGGAGCGAGCACAGAGCATGGCTACGCTGAGGTAACCACTGCTTTGCATCAGGGTCTCCGAGGCACTGTTGCTTCACGAACGTACCCAACTCTACAAGTCTCAGACGCAGCCCTGGATTTCAGCAACAGCACAGACCCTGCTTTGTTCTCGTCTCCTCTTGCATTTGTACCCTTTTCTGCTCCGTCAGCTGATGTCTCAGATCACCTCTTTCTTCCCAGCAAAGCCAGTGAAACGTCTGAATTGCTTGTCAGCTCAGCGGCCCCCACCCGTGTGGCTGACACGCCTGCCCTGAGCCCCACGCCTTTGTCTGGACAGCACGTATGGTGTGTGTCCTGCCGTCTGTCTTCACCTTGGCAAGCTCTGTCCTCGAGCCTTGTGGAGAAAGACATGGGCTCGGGGGATGGCCCTGAGACCTTGTCCTTGGCCATATTGGAAGCCAGCAGCCTTGTTCCACCAGGCATCGTCGGAACAACTGACTTCTCCGAATTTGAGGAGAATCCTCAAGAATTCAATACGCTTTTCCCCTCAAGACCTGTAGTTTCACTTTACTCTCCATCCATGGGGGTCTCAGGCCTGAGCGTTGGCACCTCAGCTGAGGTGGACATGAGTAGTACTGTTTCCACACACACGTCTCCTCCCCATGACCACCCTTCTGTCGCCGTGTCACCTGAGACCTCGTCCTTCAGCTTCTCCTCGGTTGTGGAAACGGAATTCATGTCATCCAGTGTAGCAGCTGTGTTTCCCTCAGTCCTCGCCAGCGTGCTCCTTGACTCATCTTTCTCCATCACAGTAAATAAAAATGTCCCATCGATTGCTATCACAGACCCAAACCTTTTCACGCCCTATAGTTTGGTTCCCTCAGTAGATTCTTTGCTTTTCTCTGACCGAGAACCACCCAGGTTTTCCCAACACAAAACAGGAAGCACTTTGGATTTTGCACCCAGCCTTTTCTCAGCGCCTCCGCTGGAGTTCAGCAGCTTGGTGTCTTCGCCCTCAGAAGTGCTGGCGTCGGCGTCGGCGTCTGTGGTGTCGAGCGATTTGTCGATGTTCGTTGCTCAGGCGTTTTCTTCGTTGGTGGAGGCATTTACATCCTCTGCCTCTGTCCACTGGCAGTCGCCTCCATTGTCTGTTCCTAATTCCACACGCCTTGGGTTTTCCCAGCTCTGGCCAAGTTCGGATCCTCTTTCAAATACATTCACTTTTCTTCCTGGCTTCTCTGAAATGAGGCCACTGTCGAGTTTCCTGTCCGATTCCTTCAAGCTTTCTGAAGTGTCAGCAGTTTTGCCGACAGACTCGGATGTTCATTTTACCTCAGCTTTCACAGAAACTACCTCCTGTTTCGAGTTCTCCCTCATTTCCCGTGAGTCTGCAGTCACCACACTGGCACCCTCTAGTTCTGAGTCTGTCTTTGACTTTGTGATTGATGGGACTCACTTCACATCACTGTTGACTGCTTCTCTTACTCCATCCACATCAACCGAGTTGTCTCTGTTTTTGACTCCCACGCCTCCTGACTATGACATCAGTACTACGGGTCACCACACATCTGTCTTA